GAGTAAAGTTTAACAATGATGAGTATTTGTTCATGATTAGTATTTGTTCATCTAACTACATAATTATCATTAACTGTGCCTTGAGGAAACGAAACATCGATTTTAGAACACCATCGATTACCCAAAACACTTTAATTCTGGAATCCCTTAATACCTGGAGTGACAATGAAGAAAAAAAACACCATAGATTACCAAAATTACTCTAATTTTGGAATCCCTCAATCCCAAAATTAGCAACGAGGAAAAAATACACCATAGATTACCCAAAATACCCTAATTTTGAAATCCTCAATACCAGAATTAGCAATGAGGAAAAAATACACGATCGATTATACCAAAAATTACTCTAATTTTGGAATCCCTCAATCCCAAAATTAGCAACGAGGAAAAAATACACCATAGATTACCCAAAATACCCTAATTTTGGAATTCCTCAATACCAGAATTAGCAATGAGGAAAAAATACACGATCGATTATACCAAAAATTACTCTAATTTTGGAATTCCTCAATACCAAAATTAGCAATGAGGAAAAAATACACGATCGATTATACCAAAAATTACTCTAATTTTGGAATCCCTCAATACCAGAATTAGCAATGACGAAAAAAATACACCATAGATGTCCAAAAATACCCTAATTTTGGAATCCCTCAATCCCAAAATTAGCAATGAGGAAAAAATACACCATAGCTTATACCAAAAATTACTCTAATTTTGAAATGCCTCAATCCCAAAATGAACAACGACAAAAAAATACACCATCGATTATACCAAAAATACATTAATTTTGAAATTCCTCAATCCCAAAATGAACAACGAGGAAAAAAATACACCATAGATTACCAAAAATACTCTAATTTTGAAATCCTTTAATCCCAAAATTAGCAACGAGGAAAAAAAAACACCATCGATTATACCAAAAATACTCTAATTTTGAAATCCCTTAATACCTGGAGTGACAATGAGGAAAAAATACACCATCGTTTACCAAAAATACCCCAATTTTGGAATTCCTCAATACCAGAATTAGCAATGAGGGAAAAAAAATACACCATAGATTACCAAAATTACTCTAATTTTGGAATCCCTCAATACCTGGAGTGACAATCAGGAAAAAATACACCATAGATTACCCAAAAATTACTCTAATTTTGGAATCCCTCAATCCCCATTCAATGAGGAAAAAAAATTACACCATCGTTTACCCAAAAATTACTCTAATTTTGGAATCCCTCAATCCCAAAATTAGCAATGAGGAAGAAAAAAACACCATAGATTATCAAAAATACTCTAATTTTGGAATTTCTCAATACCAACTTAGCAATGACGACAAAAAAATACACCATAGATTCCAAAACAACTCCAATTTTGGAATCCCTAATCCCAAACATTAGCAATGACGAAAAAAATACACCATCGATTTATACCAAAAATTACTTTAATTTTTGGAATCCCCCTTAATACCTGAGTGACAATGAGGAAAAAATACAGACCATAGATTACCCCAAAAATTACTCCTATATTTTTTCGGAATCCTCAATACAAAAATTAGCAATGAGGATAAAAATACACCATCGATTATACCCAAAAATACCTAATTTTGAAATCCCTCAATCAAATTAGCAATGAGGAAAACAATACACCATAGATTACCCAAAAATTAACTCTAAATTTTGGAATCCTTTAATCCCAAAAATTAGCAAACCGAGGAAAAAAAAAAAATACACCAATAGATTATACCAAAATACTCTAATTTTGGAAATCCCTCAATCCCAAAATGAACAAGAGGAAAAAATACACGCATCGTTACCAAAAATTACTCTAATTTGGAATTCCCTCATACAAAGAAATTAGCAATGAAGAAAAAAAATACACCATCGATTATACCAAAAATTACTCCTAATTTTGAAATCCCTCAATCCCAAAATTAGCAATGAGGAAAAAATACACCATAGATTACCCAAAAATTACTCTAATTTTGGAATCCTTTAATCCCAAAATTAGCAACGAGGAAAAAAAAAAAAATACACCATAGATTATACCAAAAATACTCTAATTTTGAAATCCCTCAATCCCAAAATTAGCAATGAGGAAAAAATACACCATCGCATTATCCAAAAATTACTCTAATTTGGAATCCCTCAATACCAAAATTAGCAATGAGGAAAAAAGACCATCGATTATACCAAAAATACTCTAATTTTGGAATTCCTCAATCCCAAAATTAGCAATGACGAAAAAAAATACACCATAGATTACCCCCAAAAATACTCTAATTTTTGGAATCCTCAAATCCCAAAATTAGCAACAAAAAAGGGGAAAAAAAAAAAAAAAAAAAATACAAAAAATCCATAAAGAAATTAATAACCAAAAAAAAAAAAATTTAAATAACGTTTTTCTAATTTTGAATCCCTCACCCACAGAAAGCAATGAGGAAAAAATACACCATAGATTACCCAAAATTACTGCTAATTTGGAATCCCTTAATCCAAAATGAACAAATGAAGGAGAAAAGAATATACACCGTGCTTACCCAAAAAACTCTAGATTTTGGAAATCCCAGAATTAAGCAAGAGGAAAAAATACAGATCGATTAAACAAAAATTACTCTAATTTTGGAATCCTTTAATTCCCAAGGAATTAGCAATGAAAGAAAAAAATAAGCAAGGACCAAAAACTACTAATTTGGGAATCCTGCAATCCAAAGATTAGCAATGAGGAAAAAATACACGATCGTTAAAACAAAAATTCTCTAATTTTGGAATCCCTCAACACCAGAAAGAAGAATGAGAAGAAAAACAGAATAGATTAACCAAAACACTCTAATTTTGGAATCCCTGCGCCAGAATGAGCAATGAGGAAGAAAATACACCATAGATTATACCAAAAATACTTTGAAATTCGTTTTAGAAATCCCTCAATCCAAAATCAACAATGACCAAAAAAAAAAAAAAAAAAAAAAAAAAAAAAAAATGCCCACATTAATTCCCAGAATTGCGTGTGCGTTACCATTTCCTTTCGCCCGCACAACTCCGCAGCATTTCGTTCGTTGTAAAATATTCATTTCACTCCACCCCGATCGCCGGTCAGTGGACGTACGGAGACTTAGCGTAGAAGCTGAAGGAAGAATAGAAAGAAAGAAAGAAAGAAAAGAAAGAAGAAAGAAAGAAAGAAAGAAAGAAAGGAAGAAGAAGGAAAAAGAAGAAGGAAAGAAGAAAGAAGAAAGGAAAAGAAAGAAGAAAGAAAGAAAGAATAAAGAAAGAAAGAAAGAAAGAAAAGGAAAGGAAACGAAAGAAAGAACCCTCAAATCTGTCCGGAGAAACAAGAAAGAAAAGAAAGAAAGAAAGAAAGAAAGAAACTCAAATCTGTCCCGGAGTACAAAGAAAGAAAGAAGGAAAGAAAGAAAGAAAGAAAAACCTCAAATCTGTCCTGGAGAAGAAAGAAAGAAAGAAAGAAAGAAAAACCTCAAATCTGTCCTGGAGAAGAAAGAAAGAAAGAAAGAAAGAAGAAAAACCTTCAAATCTGTACAAATGGAGAAAAAAGAAAGAAAGATCCGGTCCGTGACGTACGGAGACTTAGCGTAGAATCTGAAGGAAAGGAAAGAAAGAAAGAAAGAAAGAAAGAAAGAAGAAAGAAAGGAAGAAAGAAGAAGGAAGAAAAAGAAAGAAAGAAAACCTCAATTCTGTCCGGAGAATAAATAAATAAATAAATAAAAAGAAAAACTCAAATCTGTCCCAGAGAAAAAGAAAGAAGGAAAGAAGTAAGAAGAAGAAAGAAAAATTAAATCTGAAGAGAAGAAAGAAGGAAGGAAAGAAAGAAGAAAGAAAGAAAGAAAAGAAAATCCTCAAATCTGTTTCCGGAGAAGACAGAAGAAGGAAGGAAAGAAAAGAAAGAGAAACCTGAAATCTGTCCTGGAGAAGAAAGAAGAAAGAAGGAAAGAAAGAGAGAAGAGAAAAAGAATCAAATCTGCTCCGGAGAAGAAAGAAAGAAGGAAAGAAAAAAGAAAGACAAAACCTCAATTCTGTCCTGGAGAAAGAAGAAGAAGGAAAGAAGAAAGAAAGAAAGAAGGAAAAAGCCTCAAAATCTGTCCGGAGAAGAAAGAAGGAAAGAAAGAAAGAAAGAAAGAAAAACCTCAAATCTGTCCCGGAGAAGAAAGAAAGAAGGAAGGAAAGAAAAGAAAGAAAGAAAGAAAGAAAAACTCAATTCCTGTCCCGGAGATTAAAGAAGGAAAGACAAGAAAGAAAGAAAGAAGAAAGAAGAAAGAAAGAAAACACTCAAATCTGTCCCGGAGAAGAAAGAAAGAAAGAAGGAAAGAAAGAAAAAAAGAAAGAAAGAATCAAAATCTGTCCCGGAGAAAGAAAGAAGGAAAGAAAGAAAGAAAGAAAAACATTCAGAACTGTCCCGGAGAGAAGGGAAGAAAGAAAAAAGAAGGAAAGAAGAAAGAAAGAAAAAAAACTCAAAATCTTGTCCCGGAGAAGAAAGAAAGAAGGAAAGAAAGAAAGAAAGAAAAAACTTCGTATCTGTCCCGAGAAGAAGGAAAGAGAAAAGAAAAGAAAAGGAAAGAAAGAAAAGAAAAATCCTCAAATCTGTCCCGGAGAAGAAAGAAAGAAAGAAAGAAAGAAGAAAGCAAAAAGAAAGAAAGAAAGAACTCAATCTGTCCCGGAGAAGAAAGAAAGAAAGAAGGAAGGAAAGAAAGAAGGAAAGAAAAGAAAAAACCTGAAATCTGTCCCGGAAGAAGAAGGAAAGAAGAAAGAAAGAAAGAAGAAATGAAAAAGAAGAAGAAAGAAAAACTCAAATCTGTCCGCGAGAAGAAGAAAGAAGGAAAGAAGAAAGAAAGAAAGAGAGAAAGAAAAAATCAAATCTGTCCAGAGAAGGAAGAAAGAAAGAAAGAAAAAGCAAGAAGAAAAAAAACTCAAATCTGTCCCGGAGAAGAAAGAAAGAAGAAGGAAAGAAAGAAAAAAACTCAAATCTGTCCCAGAGAAGGAAGAAAGAAGAAAGAAAGGAAAGAAAAAAACTCAAATCTGATCCCAAGAAGAAAGAAAGAAGGAAAGAAAGAAAAGAAAGAAGAGAAAGAAAGAAAAACCTAAAATGTTATTGAACGAAGCGTAAAAGAACCAAAAGAAAAAAAAACAGGAAGTAAATTTCAAAATCGAAGAAATGGAGACAAGAAGAAAGAAAGAAATAAGGGAATGAAAGAAGGGAGGAAGAGAGATACCAGAGATCAGCCTGTGCGCGAAATGGAGACAGAAGAAAAAAAGGAAATAAGGGAATGAAAGGAAAGAGAGGAAGGGAGAAAACCAGAGATCAGCTGTTCGTCAATCGGGTATTTTTCTTTTTTTTCGTTTTTTTTCAAGAAAGAAAGAAAGAAACTTCACCTTAGACTTCAATGCAAAATGGAATTCATTCAGAAAAAAAGAAAAGAATAAAAAAGTTAGCGTCACCGAACCACAAGAAATATACATAAAAAGAGATATAAATTATAAGAAACTTCAAGAAAAGTCGAAAAAAGAGTAAATAAAAAAAGAATATACATAAAAAGAAGATACAAAATTAGAGAACTTCAGAAAAGTCGAAAAAGAGTAAATAAAAAATATATATATACATAAAAAGAGACACAAAGGTACGGTACTTAAGAAGAAAAAAAAGGTAAAAAAAAAAAATAGTAATATAAAAAAAAAACATTTATATATACATAAAAGAGAAAACAAAACTACAAGAACAGAAAAGTCGAAAAAGAAAAATATATACATAAAAAGAGAAACAAAGGTACGGTACTTAAAGAGAAAAGTCGAAAAAAGGAGCAAGTGGTAAAAATATACATAAAAAGAGAAACAGAACGGTACATAAGGAGAAATGTCGAAAAAAAGTAAAAATATACATAAAAAGACCAAAAAACACGGTAAATCAGAAAGTCTAAAAATAGAGTAAGTGGTAAAACAATATTACATAAAATATAAATAAAAAGAGACACAAAACTACGGTACTTTAGGAGAAAAGTCGAAAAAAGAGTAAATGGTTAAAAAAAATATACATAAAAGAGACACAATGGTACGTAACTTAAGAAAAGTCGAAAAAAGTAAAAATATACATAAAATAGACACAAAACTACGGTATTTAAGAAGAAAAGTCGACAAAAATTATACATAAAAAGAGATACAAACCTAAAGTACTTTAGAAGAAAAGTCGACAAAAAAAAAGAGTAAATAGCAAAATATATATATATATAATAATATAATAGAAACAAAAGTACTTCAGAAAAGTCGAAAAAAAGTAAAAATATACATAAAACAACTACGGTATTAAGAAGAAAAGTCGACAAAAAATATACATAAAAAAGAATACAAACCTAAAGTACTTTAGAAGAAAAGTCGACAAAAAAGAGTAAATGGTAAAAATATATTATATATATATATATAGAAAAAGAGAAACAAAAGTACTTCAGAAAAGTCGAAAAAAGTAAAAATATACATAAAACAACTACGGACTTAAGAAGAAAAGTCGACAAAAAATTATACATAAAAGAGATACAAAAACTAAAGTACTTTAGAAGAGAAGTCGACAAAAAGAGTAAATAGCAAAAATATTATATATATATATATATTATAAAATAGAACAAAGTACTTCAGAAAAGTCGAAAAAAGTAAAAAATACATAAAACAACTACGGTACTTAAGAAGAAAAGTCGACAAAAATTATACATAAAAAGAGATACAAACCTAAAGTAATTTAGAAGAAAAGTCGACAAAAAAGAATAAATGATAAAAAAAAACGCATAGAAAGAGAAACAACCGATGACTGAACGTAAGCATAACGTACCCAGAAGAACGAATATCTAAACTCTATAAAAAAAAATAATGAAAGAGAGAGAAAAAAGAGAGAAAAATGAAGGTACGATAAAGCATGAGTACAATGAACCCAGAAACAGCTGTTTTTTTTTCCCGAGGCGGCAAAAAAAAAAAAAATTTGTTTATTTCACCGAGGGCAGAAAAAAAAAAAAAAAATCATTTACTGATAAAGCCTTGTTGTTTTGCGATAAAGGAAAACAAGAGACTTTTTGGGGCGGAGAGAAAGAAGAGAGAGAGAGAGAGAGAGAGAGAGAGAGAAGAGGAGAGGAGAGAGAGCGAAGAGNATATCATATCATAGTAATAGTATATATATATTTTATATATAGTATATAATATATTATATATATATTTAGTATATATTATATATATATATATATAACTTAAAAAGAGATAGAGGGAGATAAAAGTAAGAGCGTGAAATTATTAAATTTTTCCCGAGACCTTTATTTTGACCTTGAGACTTTTCTTCCGCTTTCGCTAATTACTGTGTTTTATTGTCTCTTCTTTCGCTTGCCTCTCATACGTTGTTTATTAGGCTCTTCCTGTCGCCATGGAAGAGTGCTTTGCATATTGCAAATCTTGCGAGAGGAGGGGGGAGGGAGGAGGAAGGAGGGAGCGAAGAGGAGGGAAGTGGGGGGGAGGGAGGGAAGGG